GTCTTCAAGTTTCGCCAAGGCTACACCCCGATAAACCTTGAAGTAGGGGGTATTTGTAGACATCGAAATCTTAATGGATCGAGTTAAATCCTAAAGTCAAGATACTACAAGACCTATTGAAATTTTAGGAGTCTGTCAGTATTGCTTAGAGGCTACTCTACCAAAACCCTAGGTCACTCTTATAAAAAGGGTTACATAATCCTTTAAAAAAATATCTCAAAAATGGAGATCATCTCTAAAATTCCATAAACTCACGGGATATTCATAAAGAGATCAAGGAATGGCCGGATAATTCTTGATAATCAAATACTTCAAGAAGATCCACAACACACTTTATGGATATCAAATAAATCCATCCGCACCATCCTACGTTCGAGAAACACGCTGTTCTAGCCCTCGAATCACGGAGATAATCAGGAGAGAAGAATCAAGGGGATAAACAGAATTGTACCCGCATCATTTTATCAATAAAATTATGTTTATTCATATTTATATTGTGGTTGCAATTTATTTTTGTATCACAAATAATTTGTTGCAAACACATAGTATTTAACCCATCAAACTATTGGTCGTTTTTTTTTCTATATCGAACCTTAATATTACAAGAGAACAATTTCTTATAGCTTCTAAAAATATGAAGTTGTAGTTTAAATTTTTGAAGTGATCCAATTTCATATTTCTCAAAGGTTTTGAATCTACTTATGGGAGCGAGTATTTTTTCAGGATACACATAGTCTCTAACGCCTCTCATTTAATGTGCTATTTAAATATACTGTACAACATAAAGTATTATTATTCTGTGTTATTTTAACTTGCTACTAAAAGGCTAACATTCTATATCAACTTCCTAATCATTGGGTCTTGTACGGTTAATTTCAAATTCGGAAGTGTTATAAGAAGGCAAGGTAAGAGGCTAAATTAGTGGTCACGGCAACTAAGATTGCGGTTTTCGGGCGTCTATACGAGGAACTCGGGGGCAAAGCAGAGACAAGAAGTTGTATCGATTGGCCAAGGTGAGGGAGAGGAAGGCCTGTGACTTGGACCAGGTGAAGTGCATCAAAGGCGAGGACGGCAAAGCATTGATGGACGAGGCACATATTAGACGCAGATGGCGGACGTATTTCCATAGACTGTTGAACGATGAGGGGGACAAAAGTATTGTGCTGGGTGAGTTGGAGCACTTCGAGAGTCGGTGGAATTTTGGGTATTGTAGGCGTATTAAGGTGGGGGAGGTGGAAGGGGCTATACGCAAGATGAGCAGGGGTAGAGCGACGGGAGCAGACGAAATCCTAGTGGAATTTCGAAAGAACGCGGGTCGAGAAGGCTTGGAGTACCTCACTGGATTGTTTGATATCATTTTTAAGACGAAAAATATGCCCAAAGAATGGAGGTGGAGTACGATGATTCTGTTGTATAGGAACACAGGCGATATCCAAATTTGCAACAATTATAGGGTTATAAAACTATTGAGCCACACTATGAAGATCTGGGAAAGGGTGGTAGAAGTTAGGATGAGGAGCGTGTCTATTTCTGAGAACCAGCTCGAATTCATGCCAGGACGCTCAACTACGGAAGCTATTCATCTGGTGAGGAGATTAGTGGAGTAGTACAGGGAAAGAAAAAAGGACTTGCATATAGTGTTTATTGACCTTAAAAAGTATACGATAAAGTGTCGAGGGAAGTTTTGTGGAGGTGTCTGGAGGTTAGCGGTGTTCCGGTAGTGTACGTTAGGGTGATTACGGATATGTAAGACGGTGCTAAGACTCGGGTGAGGATTGTGAGAGGGAACTCGGAGAACTATCCAACTGTGATGGGGTTGCACTAAGGATCGGCTCTTAGCCCGTTTTTATTTGCCTTGACGATGGACGTGCTGACGCGACACATACAAGGGGAAGTGCCTGGTGCATTCTATTTGCCGATGATATAGTATTGATCGACGAGACGCAATCTTAGAGTCTAAAGGTTTCAGGTTGAGTAGGACTAAAATAGAATACTTAGAGTGCAAATTCAGTGACGGGGCTCATAAAACACACGTGGCTGTGAAGCTTGATACTTAAGTTATCCCCAGAAAAGGTAGTTTCAAGTATCTCGGGTCTATTATCCAAAGTAACAGGGAAATTGAGAGGATGTCGCACATCGTATTAGAGCGAGATGGATGAAATGGAGGCTTGCATCTAGCATTTTATGTGATAGGAATATGTCGCCAAGACTCAAAGGTAAATTTTACAAAGTAGTGGTCTGACCAACTATGCTATATAGGACGAAGTGTTGGCCAATCAAGAACTCACACGTGCAGAAGATGAAAGTAGCAGAAATGGGGATGTTGAGATGGATGAGTGGGTATACCAGGAGAGATAACATTAGGAGTAAAACTAATCGGGTTAAAGCGGGAGTGACCTCCATGGAGGACAAGATGCGGGATTCGAGACTGAGATGGTTCGGGCACGTAAAAGCGAGAAACATTGATGCTCCCGTCAGGAGATGTGAGAGGCTGGTCGTGGCGGGTTTGAGGAGAGGTCGAGGTAGGCCAAGGAAGTGCTGGGGAGATGTGATTAGGCAGGATATGACGCGACTTCAGCTTACTGAGGACATGACCCTTGATATGAAGGTGTGGAGATCGAAGATTAGAGTAGAAGGTTAGTAGGTGGTTGTAAGTTTCTTCTTTTCTTACTAGTTACTTTAGTAGCACTCATGTTCCTCCATATTCTTAAGTAGATTTTTATTACGTCATGTGATCTAGTTCGCTTCTATTATCGTATTTTCTGTTATTAGTATTTAGTAATACTTATTCTCCCCCTTCTTTTTCTCACTCTTTCTGAGTTGAAAACAGACCCAGCAGACCCTCTCTATTAGGAATAAGGTCGGTATACACACTACCCTCTCAAACCCCACCTGTAAGAATATATTGGATTTGTTGTTGTTGTAGATTTGATTTATGAAATTTCAACTGAAAAAATCCTTCTTTTATATAACCATTAGGTATTCGAAACTTATTCATCGATTAATTTATATTCGTATATATATGGGGCATAGGGCATAGGGCATGGGATTCGTTTAAGGAAAACGTTCTCTACTGAAATTTCTCCTCTCCTAGACATAAATTTTCCACTCTTAGGGTGTGTTTGGCATAAAGGAAAATATTTTTCAAGAAAATATTTTCTTGAAAAACAAGTAGTAATCTTATTCATTTTTCGCTGTTTGGTACGCAAATTAAGGAAAATGGCTTCTCAAGAGTATTTATAAATAATTTAGATATAATAAACATGAAGCCATAAACTTTCAAATCAAAAACCTTCCGAACCCACATATTTCATAAACTTTCGAACCGCTAAACTTTTGAAAGCGCAGAATTTCGAACCCGTAAACTTTATAATTTCTAAACCCGTAAACTTCCAAACAAAATAAACCTTCGAACTCATAATTTTGGAACTTGTAAAATTTTGAACCTTTAAAATGATAAATAAAAAAATTAAAACTGAAAAATATATTTAAAAAATATTTTTTTCGGGGGGGGGGAGGGGGGAGGTGACAGTAAAACGAAAAAGAAACAGAAAATTAAATTACAAAAAAAAGTTTTTTTTTGTAACGGGGGAGGGGGAGAGGGGGAGGTGAGGGGGGTTGGGGATGATGGGTGGTGCAGAAAAATAAAAAATAGAAATTTGAAATTACAAAAAAAAAAAATTTAAGGAAAATTTAGTTTTTTTAGACGGAAGGGGGTGGGGTAGGGAGGTGGGGTGGGGTGGAGGGGTAGTAGGGTGGGTGGTAACAGAAAAACTGAAATTTGAAAAAAAAGCTATTTTTTGGAGAGAGGGGGTAGGTGGGTTGGTGAGGGTGGAAGGTTGAGAAGGAGTTTTGGAAAATGTTTTCCCTTTCTCTTGATAAGGAAAATATTTTCCTCCAATTGGAGAAAAATGAGTTAATAAGGAAAATATTTTCTAAAACATTTGAGCTAACCAAACATAAAAAAATTAAAAAATATTTTCCTTCGTACCAAATACACCCTAGCTCGAACACATTTTTTGATTAACGGTAGATTGATCTTATCCGTCTCAAAAAAGGTCAAAATATTGCTTTAACATAAAATTAGGAAAACAGATAAGCATCACATAACGCTGAATCCGTTAGCTCAGTTCTAACGGCCCCAGATTTCGCAGTCCACATAAATTTATCCTAATTATAATTTTCATAGTCAGACGAAACGTGCATTCCGATACTGGTACGACGTGCAAAATATTTTGTACTTTCTCCCCAAAAATTCGACCAATTCTTGAATTTTGATCCACAGGCAAAATCCCGACCCAACCCCTCCCAGCACCCAAAGGGGCAAAATCCCGCTTTTGCTTTAGCTGGTTCTTTTTGGCCACGCCCCCACTCACACACCTAAGCCTCACCTGTATTAGAAGGTTCAGTAATATTAGTGTTTGTTAATTCCACAAAACCCTACACCAGAAACTTCTTTATTTATCAGTTCTTGGTCAATAGATGCACCTTCCCCATTAATCAGGTACTTTCTCATATACCCTTTTCATTTTGGGGATAATGTGTAGATATTAGTGGGTTTCTCTCTCTGTGTGTGTGTGTGTGTTTGGTGGCATTTGGGTCTTTGTAATTTTTCGTCTTTTCTTTGTTTTTATATTTTTTTTTATACTTGGGTCTTGCATTTCTATGGATAGTTTCATCTTAAATTTGCTATGACCTGTTAAGTATGTGCAAAATAAATGGGGTCATTTAGCAGTCAAAATTAGCTTGCCGAGAAAATTTTCTTCTAATGCTTCTATTTATATTTGCATAATATTAGCATGAGATGAGTTTAAATGGAGTAACATGATTGGATTCATATAGGTGACGCCAACTTGTTTGGGACTGGTTGTTGTTGATGTAGTGTCTTTGTATTCATTTCAATGCATATTTTTCTGTTTGATCATGGAAGTAAAAACAAGGGAAATTTGTTAGAAATCTGGAAGAAAACTAGACAAANCCTACATTATCTAAAGCACTAAGCCATAAAGGAAGTTAAAACAAACCCACTTAGTCCACTAAGTACACAACTCCCCCATATACCCATAAGACTAGGAAAGCAGAAACTAACTAATTAAAATATCTAACAAAATTAACAAGGGAGAAATTGTATTTAGCAGGATCAAGCTGCTCCATGTCTCCACCTATTAGCTGTTTAGGCCGTTTCTGGCCATTTTTGGTGATTGAATCTGTGGGTTTGTTTGACAGATTTGTTTTCGTGAAATAAAAATTTCACGGTTTTATTTTGTTGTTGTATGGCAAGTCAAAGATAGCTTGAGTTGGTGGGGGCATTCAGTTGCTATTTTGACTGCACCTATGTCTCAATGAGCCATTTGATCCTAAATGACCAATGAGGTCAACAATTTTTGGATGGATGAAATTCAAAAGAAAGAGATGGTCATGCATGTTCAATATCTTATTTGCTGCCTCAAGTGAAAGGCATAAGTCATTTTCAATCTATTATATTAAGTAGCACCTACTAGTAGCAGGCTTTTAGATGTCATACTTTACGTCTTATATATGCTAGGTACTTCTATTTATTGAAAGAGTATAATGGATTTCACGAGCAGCAATCAACATTCGTCATTGTGAAATGGTGCTTGCTTAATGCGTGTTTGGTGTGTTGCTTGTTAAAACTTTTGAATATCATGCCATCATCCAGTATTTAACTTGGTCCTCGTTAGGATAGAAAGAAACTTCTAAGTTATCTTCTTAATGGCTACCTTAATACTTTAATTCTCAGCCATGGGCTGTTGAAAACTGCTTCCTGTGCATTTATCTGTTGTTCTGGCAGTTTTGGATCATGTTTAAGTCTATGAGTTAGCAGACTATCTGGTGGTGGAGGACGAGTAAGTAGTTAATTGCATGATAAGGTTAGGTTAGTTATCAACTTCAAAATTAAATGACACCAAACTTATCATCTGCTGCGTGCAGAAAAACTGGCCTTTTCTTTTAACTTTTTTCTTGACCCTTTGCCAATTTGCCTCATTAGGATCTTTGCTTTCCAAAATCTGAATGGAGGAGACTTTGATATGTTGGCAATTTCCTTATATTGATGCCACTCTGAATCTGCTATAGTTTTCTAGTCTTTAAATTCATTTTGATGGCTCTGATAGGCTTACAGCTTACTGCTTCTTTACATGGAAATGCTGACTTAGGAATTATTTTGTCCATTTCACTTCAGATCTTCTATCCTATTTTGCCTGTGAGTATGTGTATACTGTGTGACTTATGAATTGCAGATGTTATTCAAGGTTGGAATTGTCTCTACCTTAAAAATAAAGTATTTAGTTCTCAGCCATTATAATTGTCTTGGTTGAATTTGCCATTTTGAGGATCCAAGTCTGACATTATACTTTATCAGGTGCAATAGTGTCATTAAAACCAGGACTCTTTTCTGTTTGTTTTGGGGGTGGGGGGTGGGGGTTGTAAACAGGAGAGTGAAAGTGTTTCTTCAAAGTTCCCAGGGGAACAGACATCACAGAATTTTAGGCGTTCTCTGCTCATTTTAAATAAATCTCTCTTCAGATTTTTCTCCGATGAATAGTCTCCCTTTTTTCTTGAGGTACTGTCTCCATAATCAGCTTTCCTCTCTAGTCTTACTTCTTTCGTCAAAATGTTTTATTAGCAATGTATACCAATCCACCGTCAAGAGGTTGGAAACGACCTTTAGTTCTTGTTTTCTATGTTCTTTGCTTTGCCCATATAAAGGGCCTTACTACTTCTATTTTTTATAAAGGAAGATGGAAACTTGTTTAGCCTATACTGGTTTAAGTCGTCAGCATTTACTTGACTCTGAGCCTGTGAAGCGTGAACTGTTGATTTGTGCTGTAAACCAATTTTCAATGAACCACATGAATGTAACGTTTTGAGATTCTGAGGAATGCTAAATATTGAGCAGCGTGTTCCACACATACAACTTATTTAAATGAGCAAGCATGCAATAGGTTACTGTAATTGCAATGTCAGTGGATGGCTACAGGAGCTTATTCTATTTGTACTTTAGTTAACTATTTCTTTCCTTATTATTCTGTTTCTTCTGGGTAATAAGTGCTGTACTTTCTGTTGCATTTTCTTTCAGAATATTTCCTTTGGGGGTCCTACTGCCATTGTACCATCTACTGTAGTCAGATTCATGAAGGTGCGGCACCAGCACTTGACGTGAAGGTATTTATGCTATTAGAATTGCATGATTGCAGTTACCTTTCCTTTTGGGAACTGGGAATTTGTTGCTTGTTCTACACTCCGGCACTTATTCTTCTGGGAATCTTGTTGCTTGTTCTACACTCTGGTACTTATTCTTCTGGTATCTTTTAGAAAAAGGAAATGAAGTACAAATGTGAACCACACTAGCTAGAACAGTTTAATTTTGTATGTCCACCTATACATTTTTATAGAAAATTGCTTCCTCCTTCAAATATTTGTTCTTTATCAAAGGAAAAAAGCCCTACCCTTCATTCAAAGTTTCATCGAGCTCCACATAGTTTTGCCATTGTAGACTTGCTTTTCTGCCTTTTAATAACTAAAGTGTTTGCAATATTATAAATAAACATGACTCTGGAAATCCCCTCTTGTTGGCGAAAATCAGAGTTCAACAGATACCAGACTTAACTTTATCTGGACATCTTTCGTTTGGATTTTCTGGATATTTTTTCCTATCAAATATCTGTTTTAGACTTGTTTACCTGCAAAATTCTTGTGGTTATAAAGTGTTAATACTTTTCAATTAGCCTATACCCACTTGATTTGAGTGATCAGAAAACTATGCTTCTCCTGGCATAAATTGACGTTATGCTGCATTTCCTATATAGGGTTACTTTGATGGTCTGTAGCTTCTCCATCTTCCAATTCAGTGACTCCAAAAATGAAACCAAGAACTAATGTGGGGCCAAGGTCCCAGAAGTCCAAAGGTGTTCAGAGTGAGGGGCCAAACTGGGTCATAATTGCAGGTAGTGCGTTATTAAGTACATTATCTGTCCGCTTAGGCTACAAGCTGAAGCAGGTGCTTGACTCGAGACAACAGAACAAGACTACCAGCAGTTTGAAAGGTCCGATATTGTGCAAAGCATTTTGGTCTGTCTTGTGAAATTATTTTACCCTCTTAGATATGAGAAGTGGCTTAAAATGCAGGAAATGAAAAATCTCCTGATGGAAGGAAGTTAGGGAATGGTCATTTGCAGTCAAGTACTTATTATTTTGCGCAAGATGATGGTGGCTGCTACAATTGCAATACAGGCACGTAAATTCTTGTCATCCCCTTGGAGTTTTTAGAATTTAGGTTGTTCTTTTTGGAGTAAAAAACACGGCTAGTGATTTCATGTTGGCATCATCTTCTTCCAATGATCATGTTCAGTTTTTTAACTCCCGATTTTGTGAGAGTATAATTTGAACTAGTAAAGTTAATTAGAGTTGTATGCATCGAAACTATCATTTGTAAACAACTTATGCATGATAATGTTGATCCTCTGGTTGCTTTCTAACTGGAAAAGCTAGACACGATGTTCTTCACAAAATGGACATATTTTCAGTTATCTTGCTTGCTTTAAGAGGTTTATGGTGATGTCAAGTGAAAGATTGGAACATAATGAGGGAGGATTCATGTGATCAATATGATGCTTTTCTTGGTATACATGTTGCGCTAGCTACCACGTAGGACCAGTTTTTACCTTCTATGCTGAGTTTTCTTCAAAAAAAAAAAAAAGTTTACCAAATCACTAGTGCAGTTAATGAACATTTGCTATTTTTACAAGACAGGAGCTGGAGGATTGGGGGTTATAAAGCAGCAGCAGTGTAATGGGTCTGAGCCTGAAATGGTGCTCCCTCTTGTGACTGTTCCTGCCCTCGAATTCAATAAAGAGAATGGTGGGCCATGGTCAAGCTCTCCTGACCGTCTTGAACTGCCACAGAAACCATTTCATCACTCGAACAGCTCCGAGTCGCCATGCGTCTCAGAATCTGGTTCCGACATATACAGTAAGCGAGAAGTGATACAAAAGCTGAGACAACAGTTAAAGAGAAGGGACGAAACAATATTAGAGATGCAAGAGCAGCTTGTAGAGTTGCAGGGTTCTCTCAACAGTCAGCTGTCGCATTCTGCCCATCTGCAGTCGTTGCTGGACGCTGCAAACAGGGATCTGTTTGATTCGGAGAGAGAGATACAGAGGCTGAGGAAAGCAATTGCAGATCATTGCGTTGGACAAGTTGGTTCTTGCGAAAAGTCCCCAACAGTACCTGTATGGCCAGCTGAAGTCCGATATGGTCATACGAACGGTCACACAAATGGTCACCTGGAAATTGATAGAAATTCTGATACCTCAGAGAAGGGAAGAGGAGGAGATGTGGAAAGGTTCGAAATGCTGAAGCGCGAAAAAGATGAGTTGAAAGAAGTGATTGAAGGGAAGGATTATCTAATCAGGAGCTACAAGGAGCAAACTGCTGAGTTATCAATCAAGGTGAAGGAACTGCAGCAGAGATTGGATGCTCAGCTCCCAAATATTTTGTAGGCACGCGTTAGAGTTGTGTATTCTTTAGTTTGCTTCCATCTTATGTTTCTCATTCCCTTGATTGGTTTTAAGCTTCATGATATGGGAATGCTCTTTTCTCGGTTTTCTTCTGTTTTTTTTCCTTTTTATGTTTTTATTCCTTACCTCCATCTAATCCATTCTGTTTTCTGTTCATAATGTTTGACGAAACGATTTGGAGAACGTGCGTAGAAGTAGTAGATCGAGTTTGAGGATTGCTTCCTGTATTGCTGAACATGTAAAAATGGTTCATACATGCATGGAGTAGTTTTATCTGAAGTTTTGAAATAGACATTTGCTCAGCAGTTTGATCATATTTCTCACCTCCAAAACAACCATGGCAAGCGTTACTGTTCTCTCTGTCAAGGGGATTTTTTCAACGTTTAGGATATCACTTAAAATTTGTTTTATGATATTATATGAAAAAACTCCTATATATACCTTTCTTTCTATTTAATAATACAACTAAAGCGTAAATCATGGTACAATTAGATCTCCCTATAGCAGGCATATTTTCTAATATTACTATATTATAGCTGTCGAGTTTCTTTGGAATCAATTTTTTATATTATGTTATAATATATGTTCTCTTTAATACTACATTATTATAGCAGCCAAAAAATAGAAAGTTTTGATCCTGCTGTGATAAATTCTGCTCGGATCAATCCGCCAGAAAGAAAAAAGAAAAAGAAAAAAAAAGAGAAGAGAGAGAACAATTATTTAAAAAAAAAAAAAGAAGGGAAATTAAGGCGCCCTCAATTTCCCGCCAAATCTCAAAGTTCCCCCCACAAAATCACTCACCGTCCAGCTGCTCTTCTAAACCCTACTTCCTTCTTCAATCGCAAAAAGAAAAAAAATTCAATTAAAAGAGTGGAAAAAAGATCAGGGAAGGAAGATAAAGAATGAAGGGAGGTACAGTTCAGATTAATTGGCACGACACGAAACCCGTTTTGTGCCTCGATTTTCACCACCTCTCCGGCATCCTTGCTACCGGTGGCGCCGACTATGACATCAAGGTTAAATTTACTATTTCACCCTTCTTCATTTTCCTCTATTACTTCTAAATTTTGTCTCTGCATGTGTGTTTCGCACTTTGATATTTCTTGCATGGTGAATTTTGGTTTTAGTAATTATTTTAATTGGTTCCTCGGAAATATCGAAATTCTCTTTTGCATTTTCATTCACTAGTTTACAGTTTCTATGTTACTTTTCTCAATCCGGAAAAGTATATTTGTGATATTGTAAAAATCGAGCTAAAAGAACCTTTAAAGTTCAAAGGAAACGAAAATACAGTAAACACCATCTCCAAGGCGGCAAGGGCATGCATCATTAATCATGGTCAGTTACTTCTGATGCGTCGCATCTCCAATGTCATGTAGAATGATCCATGTTAAAAAGACAATATCAAAAAATGAAAGTGCGAAAATTGGCCCTGAAGGTCACCAAGGGTTGACACTTCAGCTACAGATTGTAGAATCATCTTCTTTGCAGGATCAGGCGAAAGTTGGGGATAGGCATTTGATACAATATTCCTAGTGTGATATTCTTACCAATTGAGTATCATTTAGGTGAATGCCCACATTAGTCGAATTAGAAAACTCATTCATGAAATTTAGAGTAATATCTAACTGCCAGATTTACTCATCCAGTTAACCAAGCAACTACAATGTTTCTCTTCAGGGAGTTTATGATCCCGTACACTGACTCAAAAAACTCTTTACTTTGTTGAACTAATTCATATAACTCCTATTAAAAGGAACATCACAACTAAAGCAAACGTCCAACCAAATCTGTTTTTTGTCCAATGCAGACAAAATAATCCAACTAAAAGGATGACAGCAACAGCCCTTACTATTTTCACCATGCTTATCTTTGGTTGGTCCACCTTTATGCCACTAAAAGTTGAAAGACATGATGTAACAGGAGTGACAATTCCATCGGTTATGCTTGTGTGAACTTCCAACAAATATAAGAATAAAAATTTCACTCTTCCTGAATGAATAGGCCTCCAGCTATCTCTCTGTTGTTGCAGCAGATGAATGCTCACAGAGGTTGCTACATGTAGCTTCTTTTCTGTCCAGTTGTAGTTGTGAAATATCTTTACCTCCACATGTTGGTGTATGAGCATTTTCCTAGGTTTGGTAGCTTCTTGATAATTATAAGCTAAGTTGCTCCGACATGGCAGTTTATGGGATCCGTACCAGATCTGGTCAAACAATTTTGGATACTTTGACCATGACAGAAGGAAAAATTCGAGGCGAGATACAACTTGATTCCCGAAATCAGAACCAAAACTAGGGTAAATTTGAAGAAAATAGCATATCTTATCTAGGAAATCAATCATTCACTTATCTACAACTTGAGAATAAAAAAGAAATCCATACTTTACAAGTCGTACGTAGGTATTCCACAAATTTTCTCATAATTTAGAGATATTTTTTTATTTTTATTTTTTTGAATTATTTTTAGCCGGATCCCCGCACCCGTATCCGTATTAGGATCCGCATCCCCGAATCGTAGAATTTATATTTTGAAGGATACGACCTCTAGATCGCACCCGTGTTGGACACCCGCGCTCGTGTCTGAGCAACTTAGATTATAAGCAGTAGCATTACATCTGGGCTAACAGATCCTAACTAATACGCCTTATCACCCACATAAGCTGAAAATTTATTTTCTCCAATTCAGTGCTAATTCTGTTTGTTGCATTGCCATTTATTCAACTATTTTCACTGGCTCTTGTAGTTTCACAACTCGGTCAACAAAGTCCGCTAGTGAAGCATCATTTTGATCTCCTGGTTTCCTACTGTGCTTGTGTTGAGCACCAAAAATCAATAATGCATTCCACATTCCTTAATTCCTAAAGGCACAATTAGCACTTCTAATCATACCACATGGAGTATTAAGGACACATTTCTTGTACTGTGTTGATGTATTAACCACTAGTTTCAAATTAGCTGATATATAAAGGACTAACATATTAACTTTATTGACTAACATATTAACTTTATTGATACCATTTTTATGTGGGATGAAATATGACATCATTGGGTTCATAAAATTTTCAACAGATGTGGGTGATTTATTCTGGGGAAAATGAGAAGAAAGCGCCTTCAGTTTCATATCAGACTAGCCTTTCTTACCATAGTTCTGCTGTTAATGCGCTTCGGTTCTCTCCATCAGGTAGTTGGCTCTGTTAAAAGGCTGTGGTAGCTATTTTTGAATTTTACGTTGATTAAAGCATTATTACGAGGCAAGAATTCGTGCATGGTTATCTTCTGTGGGGTGTTGGAGTTTCCTCTGAAGCTGCAGGTTGTTTCATGCAATTTATGTGTATGTTGGTGTTCGAATGACTGCCTTTCTTCTCTATGTTTCTCCATACTTTCGTGAAGCAAAATGTAATATTGGTTTTCTAGAGGGTCGGCATTTGATAAATTTATCTGCTGACTCTACTAAGCTGCACTGGGCTGTAAACTTGGTTCTTTCTATTTTTTTTTTAGCTCCTTTTTTCTTTCAAATGTTGCTATCGTTGAAATAGTCTTGTAGGTTTTTACCTCCTTTAGTTTCAGAAAGCTGATGGCTTGTTAGCCAGTTTCTTGAACTAATAATTTCTGTGAAATGTATTTTTATCCAGGTGACCTCTGTGGTGCTTAGAAGATTAATACTAGAAAGTAAGATTATCAGTAGTTAGATATTCTATTAGATGATTTTTCTGGAATATTTGCTATAGATTCAGAAATTCCTGTAGTCAGAATCTTTTTGCTGAATATGCATTTGAGCACTCGTTAATTTGAGAACCGGAAATACAGAGCGGAGCGTGGAACTTCTTTTGCAGTCAGATCTGTTGGATACTGAGCTGTGATGAAGTTCACGAAATCATCAATTACCTTGGATTGTATAGAGAAGGTTGCTCTTGCTATGAATGAAACAACAGAAAGAGATGTTTCTGCAAGTATTTGCAGCATTTGATTTGACATGTAACAGTGTGATGGAGGGTTAGAGTGACAATCTTCTGTAGTTTCATTTGACTTACTTCAAAGTCAATGTCATATTACAAGCCTCTCTTGCCTCTCTGGATTGATCATTATATTGAAAAAGTTAAAGTTTCTGCTGACTGTGTGACTGTGGGTACTTCATTTTTAGCAACTTTTGCAGTTACCAAAAGTTCTACTATAATTGACCTAATGCATGCTTCTGTCTGATTTATTAAACTGTTAGATAATATACTTGTACTATCTAGTTAGCCAGAAAACTGAATACCATTTTCTGTAAAATGCAGGAGAGCATTTGGCCTCTGGTGCAGATGGTATCGACTTGTCCCTATAAATCTCTCCATTTAGTCTAGATCAAATGATTTAACTTTCTTCTGCTGCATTTTCTTCTTTTCCACTTTTTATTTATATGCCTCTTTGTATTTTTAAGAGTACTACTACTGATGTAGGTGGTGAGCTCATCATCTGGAAGCTTCATTCTTCAGATGACAGTAAAACATGGAAAGTCCTGAAGACGTTATCGTAAGCCTTTGATTTGGTCCAATTGTCACTTTGAATTACTAAGCACTCTTAGGGATATCTTAGGGATAGCTCTAGAGTTCTTGCTGCTTTTTAGATGCTGAAAGGAACTGGAAAATAATACATTTGAGGGCACTGGCTCGAAAATGGAACATTAGCTACTGTTTTTCTGGTTTGAGGTTTATGGTTTATCCAGGGAATTATCAGAAAATACTGTTTGGTTCTTGTCCTGCATTTTCGTATTCTGATCCTTATCTTTTATGCTTGTCAAATAAAGTTTTAGATCTGATGGTTGAAGAAAGAAATAGTTCTATTTGGCATTTGAGTAGCCTGGCTTTGTTTAGTGGATGCAGGTAGGTAGAAGAGGGTTTTACTTTTGGGATTATAGGATATTTTAACCACATGAAACAGTTGCAGGGTGAGATAACAAGTAATGTTTTTTTTTTCTTGATAAAATAAAGTAAATCAATATAGATTGTATTCGAAGAGTCAATTCATTTGGATACTATTTTGGTTTAAGCAGAATGAAGGGGAACCTTGGAGTAACGGTAAAGTTGTTTCCGTGTGGCCTATAGGTCAGGTTCAAGCCGTGGAAACAGCCACTAATACTTGCATTAGGGTAGGCTGTCTACATCACATCCATTGGGTGCGGCCCTTCTTTGGACCCTGCGTGACTGCAGGATTATTTGTGCACCGGGCTGCCTTTTTGGTTTATGCAGAATGTTGCAATCAACCAGCATATGTACTATAATAACTGATTTTACAGGAAAAGCATCGGATTTATGTGTTAATCAAACTTTAACAA